CGGTGGCGGGGGCTGCCGGCGCACGGTAGCCCCGTGGCTTGCGAGCTGTTCCGTCCGCGCCGCGGGTACTCCGGTATCGGAGCGGTAGCTTGGGCCGCCCGGTCTAATCCCGCCGGGGTGGGGCGGCCGTGCGGACCCTCCGCCGGCGGCGGCAGCAGCAGCGTCCGGCTTCGCTTCCCCGGGGGCGTCGGGAGCGGCCGAACCACCCGGCCGGCGCCTGGCTTGCTGCTGCCTTGGGGCAGCTCCTCCGCCCGGCAGGAGCGGTGTGTCTTAATTTTTTCTTCCCGGAGGAATTAGAAGTAGCCCTTGCTGTTTGACGTAAGAAATCCAGTTCTGAAGGCAGCGAGTGGAATCTCGAGGACCGAAGGGATGGCTTGCTGGTGCCGTTTTCTGAACCGCGCAAGCCGTCACGGGGACCGTCGCGCTGATGTCGCTGCGCGGTTGTGCCGGCTGCCCGGCGTCGCGCTGTGGACGGGCGCTGCAGCCGTGTGCTCAAGCTGAGGCCCGCACGCCACGCCGGCTTCCCAGGGAGCTGCGTACGCCTGCCGAGGCTCGGAGGGACCTCGTTAGTATGTGCCGCTCCACTGGCAGGCCATGGTGGTTACTCCGAGTTATCGCTCGGCTCATCGAGTCTTCAAAGGGATGACAGATGGGATATCCAGAGAGACTTGGTTTTGCCGATAAATCATTTTAATCAGAAAACGCATGTCCTAATTCTGAAGATAAATTACCTTTTTTTCCTTTGGGGAATCGGGCAAGTGTTGTATGGTGACCCTGGCCATGCCCTTTTTGGGTTGTAAACAGGGATCCAAAATGCTGGGTTCTGGCAGGGGCAGGACCCTGGGGTCTCGGCAGTCATGCTCTCCTGCCAGGACATAGCGCCAGTGCTGACCTCGATTCCACCGATAGGGAAGCGTGTCAGTAGGTTCCCCAGAGCGCAGCACACAAGCTGGGGTTAAAGGCTGTACCCTGCTGGGGTACTCCGCTCCCCAGTGACGGCTGTTTGTTAGGAGCAGCATAATAGCCCTGCAATCAGTCATTCTTTGTACGGGAACTTGCTTTAGGTAAAATGGTCACACCTCTGTTTAACCTTGATCCTGGCCGATGCTGTCTCTAGCTTTCTCCCCAGGTAATGATAAAACCAGCAGCGAGGTTGCCCAGAACGCTGGTGCTTCTTTGACTGGCCGGCTTTCCCCAAGGAAGTGCTGATGCTTTCTGCTGCTGGCTCAGCAGTGGAGTTCTCTGAATCAAACAGCTTTTATCTCCTTTTGTTGTTTTAGGCAGCAAGTGAAGTTAAGAGATGAGTTTGTTACTGGCTTTGGGAATCTTCAATCTGGACTCTCCCACACTGTTACCATGCAAGCAGAAAGATGTCACGTGAATTCTGGAGCTACAGAAGTAATTATTTCTTACTGTACTTAAAAATGTTGACAAAGCCTCCTGAACTCTAGATCTAGAGTTCTGAAGCTGTTTTATAGCTTGTAAATTCTCTTACTGATGGAACAAGGAGGAATATGGCTGCATGTAGGGTTAAGAGGTTGAAATTCCAACAAAAGGCATTATGACAGCTATAAAACCTCTAGGACCTGCTCCCCAGAACAAAGCAGGTGTAATCCAGGAATCCTGAAGGGATCAGAGGGGAGAGGTTTGTAATAGCATCAGTGAACCTATTTTTTAACTGGGGAGAGAAACAAGACTTCTGCTTTGAAGAATTAACAGATGCTACTTGCAAGTGACAGACTAAAGTGAAGAACAGTGTGTTCAAATCTCCATCCCTGCTGGCACTTAACCATATCAGTCCGTTGGAATATATTCCAAACGGAAGGGTGACTGGCAGTGAACTTTTTGGCTCTAGAAAGATACTTGGCATCTGGGGCTTGAAGGTAATGACAGGGAGGGACCTGTGTTTTTGTGCCCAGAGCGAGCTTTTTTCTCTTGTTCCTGGCTATGATGCATCCACTCTGTGCTTAACAGTTAAAAACAAGGTTCTGCTTCAATTTATGGGAGTGCATCTCTTGAGACAAACTTAACAAATCCCCTGTGTTTGATACCTGGAAAAAATTACACCAGTCTTTCCCCAGGCAGGAAACTGTTTGCTGGCATAATGATGATGACTCTTTGCCGTTTACCCAACTGAATTTTGTGATGAGCAATGTTGTATCTGATGTGCCAGCTAATTAGTAGGATTTTTCCAGTGTGATTTGCTACCATCGTTTCTGATTTTATTTATTATTTTAAAGGTGCAACTGAGATCAAACTACCTTGTCCACTGTCTTCGAGGCTTGTGTATGCACACACAGCCAACAGTAGACTCCATCCACTTTGGGAAGTGTGGGTGTTTAAGAAGGTAAGTTGCTTTTTTACTGTGATACTACAGTACTTGGGCTCCAGTAGGGTGTACGGCTAGCTGGTGAAGGCCTGTACTGGCCATGCTTGCTGCTGTCTGGACCTGTGCTGGCTTGTATCAGCTGAAGTGTGGCCTGTTAGTCACGGACACTTTTGAACTACTGACTGGCTTTGCTGTCCTTTACTTGTGGTACTGCTACTAGTCTTCTAATTTTTGCTTATAACATCACAGGAGAAACTGGGGAGCGGTTAAGGATAAAAAGTTGTGCTCTTTTTGCAGAATTTTTTTTTCTAAGGATATACATTCTTTAATATGGCTTGTCAAAAATAGTGATTTATAAAGGAATTCTATTTAGGTCTACTCTAGAAGTTGTTTTTCTGGCATAATGATGAAATCTTTGCCGTTTACCCATCTGACTGGTTTTTGATGTGTATCTTTGAATCTGAAATGCCAGTAAAGTTAATAACTTTGTGTAAGATTGATTAAGGATACAGAAAACTGACATATTTTGATAGCCTGTTTTGTTTTGTTGTTAGCTTGAAAACAGCAGCCTGAAATGTGGAGTTCTAATGCACTTGGAAATGCTTTCATGGCCCTTCCTGTTCCTCAAAAATACTGCTTGATTCAACAGTAAAGCATGGGAGTAGCTGTTTAGTGAAAATGTGTGAATAATCCTCGAGTGAGGTTCAGGTGAGTGTCCCTCTAAAAAGGGAAGTGGCATTGTGGACACTCTTAGAACTTAGTATGACTATTTAAATGTACCAAATAAATTGACCAAAATTGAATAAATCAAGGGTTAAAACATGTAGGGAAACTTGTGTTATCTTGTCTAAATGGGAGTGTTTAAAGTGTTAGTGGTGGCAGCTTTTCTGCTTATCTCCAAGGCAATGTGTGTATGAATAAAATGTTGGATTTCTGTTTTCAGTGACTGTAGTTTTTGTTGAGGCTATGTGAGCAGTAGGACCATGATCCTGCTGGATGACATCCTGGGTAGGAGTCACACCAAGCCTTTGGTATTCAGCTTGTCCAGTGTTGACAGGAAGTCTGTACAATTTTTCTGCTGCTTTTTTTTTTAAGATGGACCTCTTGAATATAAAACTTGGTCAGTAGTATGTCTACTACTATATCCTTACTAGGAAGACAAAAATACAGGGAAGTTTGTAGTTAGAGAAGCATACTGTATCTCAGACACCTCATCTTCTACCACAGCATTCTTTACACTTGTTTTTGCAGTGAGGCAGAGTTGAACTCATTGAGCTGCCTACCTACCAGGTTGTCTAATTTTTTTTTTCCATTTTCCTGTAGGGTTCTACTATGCCCTGCAGTCTATATAAAGTAATGTGGAAATTGGTTTTTTTTTTCAGATTGCAGGAGCACACTGGCATCCTGGTCTAATGTTGTCGCTGTAATGTAAAACTAAGACACAGAACATCAAACAGTATGGCTATACTTCTACAGATTTTAAAATTTATAGAGCATGAGTAATTTAAGAAAGTTGGCTTACACTAGGAAAATAGAGTTTTAATGTACTTAAAACTACTTACCCTTCATTGGGTGATACATTTGAAAAGAAGCAACAAGAAAAACTGCAGAGTTCATAGTTGAAATGAAACATGAGATTCTAAACTCCTGGTTTAATTGTTACTTGTAATCTTATTAAAAACCCTGCTTTACTCCTCACTTAACTGTGGATGAACAGCAGGAGCCAGGAAGAAGAGTACAGGTTGTGGCTTTATTCTGAAGCCATGGCCTCCCAGGATAAAGATATCACTCCTGCCTTCAAACAACGCTGTCAAAAAAGTTGTAATTAAATCTTGTCAGCTATGCTTTATTCCTTAGCAAAATACAACTGAACTGTCTTACAAAAATACTAAAGTCTTTATTAGTTGTATATTTCTAACTGCAGCCTCTCAAAGATAAAGCTTCAGGCTTTACTTACAGAGTGGAGTTTTCACTCTTCATTAGTGTTAATGTGAATTCCTGGGCCATATGCACCAATAAACTTCAGCAGTTGATCGTGACATTGCATGAGGTAACTATCTCTCTGTTGCAGGGAGTTTTCATCACTGAGGTCAAATGGAAATACAGGATTTGGTGCTACGCATAATGCAGACTTGCCTAAGCAAAGAAGAAATCAAGACTTATGCTAAAAGACTTGATAAACTTGCCAGGACTTTGAAGGAAAAAAAAAAAAAGCTGTGACAGATTACTTAGTAATGCAAGCTTGTGTGTTACAAATCTTTGTGTGAACAAATGTGACTGTGATGCTAGATAAACAAAAAATGCAACCCATGTCTTTGGTTTCCCCAGGGAGGTAAACCTGTCTTTAGTTTAACCTGGATGAATGTTAGAGGATCGATGCCTCAAATAAGCCAAGCAAAAAGGATGGAGGCTTGGTGCTGGCCTGGGGCCTCATTATTTACATACAGCACTGAGACTCTACAGAAAAGTCAGCTGAAAGACTTTTCTGATATCAGTCTTCAACAGTGGAAATTCTGGACTTTTATTTGAAATTAACTATTACTGCAATCAATTGATACAAACTTTTTTCAGACTCTCAAAATGTGAAAATGATGTACACAAGACTAAAGCCAGTTGCATTATTTACCGTGTTTTAGAGTAAGAGATGATTCAAGTAACAAGATGGCAATCAATGCATCTTCCTCAAGTACTTTCTTTCTTAAACTTAGTTTAGTATGAGCCTTAGACAGTGAAATCCTAAGAGATTAATATAAGCATGTCAGAAATGAAAAATATTGCAGACATGAATGCAGTATGTATTGCCCTGTTTCAAGCACTTCTGTAAATCAAAAGTTAACACTGGACTAGTTTTTTCCATACTCAGCTGTGTAAGCTTCCCACAAATACTGTGCAGTTACATTTGTCACTCACAAAGTACATACATTTATGCATGACTTCCTTGGGCTATGAAAGCAGTGGAACTTGGCATATTATCTACTGTTAATACTTTTTTTTGCTTGCATAATACAAAGCTGTAGTAATTTAAATCCCATTTTTGTTTTTTCTAGACAGCTTTAATAGTGATAATTGCTTCTTAAATCACTGGGGTTTTGGCTGGCATCAATATATAAAATAAATGGTATTCATAAATGGTAAATAAGATTCTTTACACTTGAACTTTTCAAAACTTGAGAGTCTTGTCTAGATTTTTATTTAACAAGCTCTTGAGCAGGTTGGCACAATTTCTATTTGGAATGTAGATGTTTCCTTTACCATGAAAGGTAGGACATACAGAATTTTTAGTGCAGATGGTGATAATGTTGACCCATGAAAAGAATCTCTTCTCACTCTGCGACTTGCAAGATAGTAGCCCTGAATGAGGTTTTCTGCTTCTGAACTCAGTTCAACATGAAGATTCCTAGCAAAGAAAATAAACTAGAGAGAGGGTAAAAATTTTAAATATTTAACTGGAAAATAAATAATTTAAATTTTTCACACCTTTTAACATACCAGTGGCATAGTAGTATAGTTTGGACAATATATTCCACCAATAGTTTTTATAAAAAGACAGCTGCCACCATAAGGATAGATCTCAGATACTAAACAGAATCATCTGTTAGTTATACTAGAGATATTGACAGTTTATTTAGAATGGAATGTTAACTTTTACTACTGATGGCAAACTGTTCTGGTCAAAAGTAGGTATTGGAGATCTGTTCTCATATGAATGTTAACCTAATATGTTTTTCAGAAACAAGATCAAACAATTTAGGCAGGCCCTTCTGAAGAACTGAAGCTAATTTTATAATGATCTTGTTAGTGCTAGTGGGAATATGGTGGGGGGAAAGGGTAGAAAGTTAGCATTAACAGGTTTAAAAATAAGTAATCAGAATGTGCAGAGAGAACCTTCTGATTCCAGAAATAGTATGATATTCTTAAATATAATGCATTTCTAAATTATTGGGTAGTATCTGTTACCTCCTCATAATCCTGCATTCTGAACTGCTGTGAGACTTTGTACAGCATGACTTCAGGATTAATGGCTTTTTCCAAGATATGATGTACAAGAGAAGAAGATGGTCGGCATGAAGGAAACTCACTGTGTATCAAAAGTCCAAAACCATCTAGAAGGTTAGGTGGAATCAAACTCACATCCTAAAGAGAAGACACAGAGAAGGAAAACAATTACTTTATTTCAGCCTTTTGACTTGTAGAAACATCACAGTTTTTTCAGTCTGGAATGTTCAATATCCATATATACTCAGTCCTGCAAGATTATCTAATGAATTACCTATAATATATGCCATAAAATTCTGTTTCAACAGTAGTTGTCAGGCTATTCTGAATAAAATAAAGGATACCTGCTTTTGGGAAAGCTAGCTCATTTTAGAAGATACTTGATTTAAAGTGACTTAAGTTGTGACTTTTGGGGAAATAATACTAACAAATTTGATTTTTTTCAATATTAGTTGAAATAACCATAAACACAATAGTGTTATAATAATAACCATAAACATAATAGTGCTATAGTACAGTTACTGTCATAACAAGGCATGTGCTTTACCATCTGTCCAATTAAAAAGTTATCCTTTTGTATATGTTTCTTTGGGGAAGAATCCACATCTACAAAAGACCAAAAATTGGTCTGAACTGAAATAGTAACTTGTTGGTCAGCCTCTTCTCCATACTTCTTCCCAGGAATGAATACTGTTGTTGTTCTGCTCTCTAATGCTACAATAGGACAAAATACATCAGTTATGTAATTGATCTAGTTTAACTATAAATTCTAGTCCCACACACACTATCTGAAACCAGTCACGATTATGCATTTCACTGAATTGTCACAATCAGTGGATCTCTGTAGTGTATCCTGTGTAGCAAATATAAGCTTATAGGACTTTTTTTTTTTCCTTCTTTCTTGCACAGACTCATTAAAAATAGCCTCTAGATTTTCACAGCAGTTGAGGGCCATAAGCTGGGGAACAAACCTAGCCATGAATTTGCATGTTTGTTTTGTTCTGTCCCCTCATTTGTTAGTAGGTGTGAGATTACCAGACTGTAGAAGTTCAAGTTTATCCTTTTTATATGAAGATAAGTCTCCTATGTAACAGATACCACCCTTAGCCAGCACAGCGCTGCAAGCTTGAATACTAGCAGTTCCAGTTCCGTGTTTATCTTTGGACACAGAAGGAAAAATTTCACTAGAAGGTGGGTGTCGTATGCCACGAGGCAGAAGACATACGCTGTAATTCAGAAGCCTAAAGGATTAAATAATTCTGTCAGTCATAAATTGTTAAATTATTGTTCAGTTTTTCAAAACTTAAACAACTTAATACTATACTTAATAATTTATAACAGTATTTATACATTAAGACTCACATAGAAACCACAAAAAAACCCACTTAAAACCAGTGTCGAAACTAAATGTTTAAAGTAACTGAATACAAAGGTAGAAGTCCAAGCCTTCTCTCCAACAGCTGCCAACAGGACTGTTTTTCTTAGCGATTTAACATGAGGCAAATCATGGTTTGCAATAGAAGTAATCCCTAGGAAGTCAAAGTCATCTTACAATTTAACCCCATATTGTTAACTCCTATTCCTATTATAGAGACACTTTTCCAGTGATTTAAAAGTGTAGAGGATTAGTAATCCTGGCCATCCAGGAAAAAATGAAAAGACTGGGAACTTGCAAGCTCTGCCTGCCTGGGGTCTACCCACCCCCGTCCTCCCCCCGTAATTCTTTTTGAGAAAGCAGGTATAAAATTTCTTTTTCATCCTCTGTGCTATGTTCCTTGGCACAAAGAGGTTGCAAATTGCTTGTCTGGTTCCACAATCAAAGGCTCCTAAGGATTTTAAGATGTCAGAGCATGATTTATCCTACTGTTAATAACTGGGAGAAAATTATTAATTAAAATTAATAAGTATTAGTAAATAGGCTATCATACCAATAGAAATATGATGTAGTAAATGCTTACTTTGACAGGCTACATATAAAATACTAGGTGCACATGCAAGACAGTACAAATGACAGTACTGACCAAGATTTACAGTAACTGTTTCAGTATTAACCAGGTGTTTTGATTCTTAAAACACTCTGAGCTCCTATGATTTCTCTTATGAAATCTTACTCTTCACGTGGGGAAAAAAATCCTGCAGCTCACATTTTTTTCAAATTTGAACTAATTTATACCACTAAATTTTGAAATTATTATTTTTTCCACAATAAAAAATAGTAATGAATTTGTTGAACTTGCAAAATAAAATTCATGCCACTTTCAAAAGATCTTTTTCAAAAATAAAAATGAAGCCCTGTTTTGAGTTGGGGAAGGAGAAGGTAATTTTGTATAAATTAATGTAAATTTAAAGCTAAGCATATTGTAGTTTTCTGTAGTGTATGTGAAATTGTGTTAATAGTTTGTAGTTGTGTGAAGGGGTAAATACATAAAATGCATAAATGCAGAAAAACATTTTGTTAAAGGCAACAACAGCTGGATTTATGACCTATGTGTAAAGATGTACATGACTTGATACCTTATCAGTATAGTTTTTATGAAAAAGAGTGATAAAAATTAAGTATTTACTGCTTATTAACTGAAAATGCTGATAGCTGGGAAGTGGTGATGAAAAGGCTTAAAGTGACACAAGATTTGAAAAGTAGAACCCTTTGCTTTTATCATTACCAGCTTCTGGGACAGTCTTTAGTTTTGATTTTAGAAGAATATTTTGTTTGAGGTCTGCTAAACAGTGCTAGTGTTAAAATCTTACTGAGATCATTACGAGAGTGTTCAGGGGTTTTATTATTAGTGAAGTTCTGATCCAGATTTATCACTTGAAATAAATAAAAATGTCTGAGGGATAGAAATTGGGTACTGTTACTAATTTGGAGCTTTGTATATTCTTTTAAAATATAGTCTCTGTCTTTTCATGTAAGACCGATCCTATTATCTTTAAAAATATTCATGGTTTTAATTCTAACTTACGTGAAAAATATGGAATCTCTTTACCTATCAATTACTAGCGTGTCGCTTGTCACAATCAACAGATCCAGATAATCTGCATTTTCTTTTTCACATGTCTGTACTAGACTCAGCAATATTGCGAGTTTAAGAGTATTGTAAGTGCCTGGTGGAACAACTTGAGAAGCAAAGATATTGGCAAGGATGGCAGTAAACCTCCAGCGTGAGCTTGAAGTCAGTGAGAGCAGATACTTAAAATTGTCAC